TTTATATTAAACACCTTTTGTAGCGATTAAAATCAAATTTTTAGTAAATTTCGATAAATATTGATGAAATATATGATTAAAAATTTCATAAAATATGTGACTAAAATGAACCATTAACTTTGATTTAAATTAAAATCTAAGGACCAAGTTCATATTTGATGGAGATTTTTATAAAGTTAATAAAATATGTAGTTAAAAAATTGTGAATTCCGGTTAAAAATACTTGTTAACTCTAACTTATATTAAAATCTAAATTTCAGTTCCTACCAAATAAAGTTAAAGAGTGTATTTGATACCCATTGTTATTGAGAATACATTTTACAATAATGACTTGTTGAAAATGTGTGCACGTGCGTGATTAAGAAAATAAAATTGAACTTGACCATAAAATTATTTTACTGAAATAATGTGTAATTGAAAATAAATTTTTTAAAATAGGAATCAAGAGTCCAAATTTTTAACACATAAATTAACAAATGAAAATGCATCAAAAATATATATTGATATTTAAAAAATATAGAGTGAATAGAATTCTTTACAGCAAAAAGAATAATAATAATACTATACACACCTACTTATTTTTGTGCTAGTTGCCAAGTGTCCGCATCTTATATAAAAAAGGATCATGCTACATGTACACAATCTTTTACACACTACTCATCCCATAAAGTGGGGACCACAGCTCGAATTATTTAATAACAGGTGGGACCTACATGTTTGTGAGGTGGTGTAAACCATTTGGTAACCCCCTTGTGTGTACATACATCTTTATTCTATAAAGAATGAGGGTGAAAATGTGCAAGTTGCATGCGCAGGTTAGCTTGCGCCACGGAGAGGTTAAGAAAGAATGTCGCTTCAATTCGTAAAGGTTGAGTGTGACATGTGAAAGATAGGTACCACACCCAACACCACACGTATACTAATCATCAATTCCGAATATGAATGCACTCATGGTGGACCTACACCACCCCCACTCTACACCCAATCCAACTCAACCCAACACCCTTTCAAAAACTTTCAAAATCTATCACCTATTCAGTCCCACTCATCTATCAAAAGGATTCACATTACTCACATATAAATTTACATACACGGAGTGAGAGAGATCCCATCCCCCAACCCAACCCAACCCAACCCAACTATCATCAAAAGGGTTAACATTTTTCACCTATTCACACATACGCACAAGGGTGGGGGAGTGGGGGTGCGGGTGCGGGAAGAAGCTAGAGAGAGAAAGGCTCCTTCAAAAAGTTGTTTGATTTGATATGTTCCTTTGCTTTCACCTCTTTGTTCACTTTTGCAACCTTTTCATCTACTTTTTCTACAGGTACCCAACTATTATTTCTTCAAATAAAAGATCTTTCCACTTCTTTTGGGAAATACAAAATTATTCAACTACTTATTTTTATTCATTAATTTTTAAGCACATTTCTAAGCTTTTTGAAAAAATACATTTTTAAATAGTGATTTAATATCATTTCAATCACACTTTTTTCAGTAAAATAATATTAATCCAAAAAATTTCTCATTTTTTAACCACACATTCTATATCAATCTATTATTTCAAAATACATTATTTCAAAATAATGTGGCTCAAAAACATGCATAAAGTTAGAGAGGATGAGGAGGTTTCAACTTCAAGTATGGTCTTACATGATAATTGTACTTTTAAAGTACAATGGATGACTAATGGAAGTAAATAATACAACAAAATACTCCTGAATTTGATTATATTAATTAAAAAGAATAGGAAATATAAAAGTTTAACTTGAGAATGATAGAAATGTTCTTTTACTTTTATAATATTTTTTCAACGTGTACTTCAATTAGACCATATATTTGCTAAAATGACATTTAACGACCATTACAAAACCATGCCCATTTTATTA